AATCACATAATTATTATTCTTTTAATCATAAGCACTACCTGTTACATTATGTGGAAAAAAGAACCATGAATTCACCTTAATTTAGACAAAAACTTGTTTTTAATAACTTCTACCAAGAAGAAATCAAAACAGGCATTGTGCAAATTGTACTGCTATTGGTAATACTATCTTTAACAGACTGAAAACATATGAAGGCTCTGAAGAGGCTAAATAATGCAAAGAGTCAAAATAAAACCTCTCAACATTGCCAAAAAAATTCAAGTATAAAACGTAACATTCAAAGGCAAAAACAGGTTCCATTACAATAAACAATCCTGAGTTGCTGAATGAAAACTTTCCGATAGCATGGCGGCTAGCTGATTACTGCTAGTTCTGATTGGCTGTTTCTGACTGAAGAGTAATTATGCAGATCAGGGAGGAGATCGATTATTTTTTTAGAGATTATCTGTCTCATGTTAGGACAACTAAAGTTTTAATACGTATGTAAAATTTATTTTTTTAAGTTAGATGCTGCAGCTTTAAGCAGAGTTTCAGTGTGAGAGTCACTACCAGGTGGAGCAGAAGCGAAGCTCCGTCTGTCAAATATTACTACCTGTAGCAGCGGTTCAACAGTGAGAGCAGAACCAGCGTCTTACATCGCAGCTCGAAGACTTAAATAACTTTTCCCGTTATTTGTTTAGCTTTCTGACCGTCATGCTAATCCGGGTGAGTGTTTGTAGCTGTTCGCTGCTTTTCCTGCTATCTGATCCTCCGTATGTCTTTTTTACTGCAGTGAGCCTCGATGTAGCCAAACTCCGTCAAGTATGGCATTGTTTTTATGCCATATTAGATTCATTGTGTTGATGCATTTTGACCTGCTTCACCCCACGTGCTTCAATTTTCCGCGCATCACGCAAACTTCTCCATTCACTCAGAGCGTTATATTTCCACATCGCTTAGGATTTGTTGCTGCGCATTTGCGCAGTGTGAAGGAAAGAGGAGACCAGCTCCACAGGCAGGCTGCGAAATGAGATGCAGGTGATCGGTTTGTGTGATCGGCAATAAGAGATCGACCGTGATTGGCGATCACCGATCATACACTTTTTCACGGAAATCGGCCGATTATGATCGGTGGCCGATCGATCGGCACACCTCTAAATTTTTATGTTTGTTCTTAAATCAACACCTAATTTTGTTTTTACTGTATTTCAGGTAAAAGAATGGCTGTGTCTTACATGTCAGGTGAAGAGAGCAGTTGGACCAAATGAACCTCCAGGCCCTCCTGCTTTAAAGTCTGAAACCTCACCCAGTAAATTTCCTCCATCCACTGATGTTCAGATGGAAGATGCCTCCAAACTCACTTCTTCTCCAAAAAAGGATGGTCTCGATGTTGTGGAGCAATCTAGAGAACCTTTAGGGAGAGTTTCACCACAGAGAAAACAGTCAGTGCCATTAAGCAAACCTCCATCTAGTGATGCTTCTCTAAAACAAGTTAGCCCAGCACTAGATCAGAAAACACCTCAAGAAAAACTAAAAGCTGAAGAAAAGAAACCATCAGATCTGGCAAACCAACACGAACGCAGACGGAGTAGCACTACTCCAGCAAAACAGCAAGAGTCTGGAGGCTTCTTTGACTTTGTTGAACCTAAACCTCAGCCAGAAGGAGCAAAGGCTGCTGAGTCAGTGGGTGGGAAGATGTTAGGCTTCAGTTCATCCATCTTTAGTTCTGCTTCTACCTTAATAACCTCAGCGGTGAAGGACCAGCTCAATACAACACCACCAGTTTCTCCCAAGATGTCTCCTTCAAAAGAGGCAAAATCACCTACAGCTCCAAAAGTAGAACAGGAGAAAAAGTCACAACAGCAACAGCAGTCAGAGAATCAGCCAACTGCAGAACCAAAATCAAATGAGATCAAGCCTTCTGCTTCCCAAAAGCTTGAGCAGCAGAAGAAAGCAGATACATCCTTGCAGACAAAGACCCTTCCATCAGTACAGGCTAAAGTGGAGAAAACCCCATCAGAGGTTTTGAAATCTGAAGCAGGTACCCATGCAAGTGTCAAACTAGAACAGTCCACCTGTCCACTGTGTAAGATCAAACTCAACATAGGCTCTAAGGATCCACCCAATTATAATACATGCACACAGTGCAAGAACACAGTGTGTAACCAGTGTGGATTTCACCCAATGCCAAGCAAAACTGCGGTAAGAGAATAGGAAAAAATAAAGTATATCACATTGTTATTCTGTATGAACTGTTAAAGACCAACCTATTTTAGAAGTGTAATTTTCTTGATTTGATGTTTCAAAAATCGATAAATATATAAACAACTCAACCTAAGAGTTGTTCTTATTAACTTGATTTCCTTCTGATTTTAGGTTGAGTGGTTGTGTCTCACCTGTCAGATGGAACGAGCCCTGGAAGTGACAGACCCTCCAGGAGTTACTTCTCTCAAGCCTCACGCAAAATCCCAAGCAGGCATCACTAGCCCAGCTGAGCCTGAAAAGAAACTCTCCTCTGCACCACAGTCACCTCAGAGGAAGTTATCTTCACCCGCACAGCCCCCTGAAACAGCTGACAAGCAAGTGGTTAATAAACAGGCTAGCCCAGATCCTTCTAAGAAAACCCTACAAGAACAGCAGCAAACATCAGGCCCAAGCAAATCACCAGGCCAGACAAGGCAAGCTGAACAGAAGCAGAGCAATGTGGCAGGGGTGCCACAGAAAGATTCAGGTAGCTTCTTTGGATTAGGAAAGGGTAAAACTCAGCCTAATGTGGACAAACCAGTGGAGTCCGTCTCTGGAAAAATGCTTGGCTTTGGTTCATCCATTTTCAGCTCTGCATCTACCTTAATAACTTCAGCTGTTCAAGATCAACCTAAGACCACTCCACCAGTATCTCCCAAGTTATCCCCTGCAAAAGAAGTCAAATCCCATGCTGCCCAAAAGAAGGAGCAGCCAGAACCACAGCAGCCTAAGGGACCTGCTCTGGTGCAAGTCAAAGATGACAAGGCTCAGCCAGAAGCTTCTAAGATTATAGAAGCTTCCGAAGGTGCCATCAAACCAAACATTAGCTGTGTGCTCTGTAAGGCTGAACTTAACATGGGGTCCAAGGATCCACCTAACTACAATACCTGCACCGAATGCAAGAACACAGTTTGTAATCAGTGCGGATTTGACCCCATGCCAAACCAGTTAGAGGTAAGAGATCTTGCTTTCCCATTGTTGCAACCCTTGATACTGACTCTTCGAAGAACACTGAATAATAAATGTCTCTAAGACATAGAACTTTCCTAGAGAAATGCTGGTAATACTGAATTGTATTGACATATTTGCACATGTATTTATTGATACTATGTTTTACTTAATAGATACAAGCATATTTTTTTCTTTAACATAATGTAACATTGTTTTTTTTCTGACAGGTGAAAGAATGGTTGTGTTTGACTTGCCAGATGCAAAGAGCTCTGGCAGCAGCCGACTCAGTACAGGTTCCTCTGAAGAAAGTTCAGGGATCACCGAGCCAAGTTTCCTCACCTGGTACTGTCAAAAAAGATGTGACCAATGAAAGGAAACACAGTATTCCTAAAGAAGGAGCTGAAGTTATTGACAAAACACAAGGTGCGCCTCAAAAGAAAGACATATTGCAAACTTCTGCCTCATTGGCATCAAAAGATGAAACAGCTTCAGCCTCAGATCTAGCAAAAGATGAGAAAACCAATTTACTTTCTACTGAGGGTACTCTAAAGTATTTGGTTCCTCAAAGTGAAGAGGTAGGGACTGTTGTTTCTGATGTCAAACAACCAATGCCTACACAAGGTCCTCCTTTTGCCGCAGACAAGAAGACAACTCAACTACCTCAAGACACATTTGAAAATGAGGAGAAATGTGAAACTATAAAGACAACACCTGGGCAACTTTTCAAATCCATGGAGGATGTAAAACAATACCAAGCCAAAGAACCTCAAAGAAAAGGTTCAGTAGTAGAGGTCAAAGAAGATGATGAGCAGAAAACGCATGTCAAAAAGATAATAGACAAACCTCACGAGGCTAAAGTTACTCCAACAGGGCAGAAAGAAGATGGTAAAAGCCAGATGGAATTGACAAAACAGGCTCAAGTTGCTTGTCCACTCTGCAAAGTGGAGCTTAACATTGACTTCAAGAACCCCCCCAACTTCAACACCTGCACTGACTGCAAAACCACTGTTTGCAACAAATGTGGATTTAGTCCAATGCCAAATATCTCTAAGGTAAATTAATACTAACTCACTCAAGTTTTTTTTTTAATTGACGATCTGTTCAACTATTTATGTGAAACAGTTTTTATTTGTTCAAAGCAACATAACACATATCAGATTTTCCTTACAAATAACTCTTGGTTCTACTTTTGCGTTTGCAGGCAAAGGAATGGTTGTGTCTCAACTGCCAGATGCAGAGAGCTCTTGGAGCTTCTGAACCCCCAGGCCTCCCAATGATGAAAACACAACCTTCACCAAGCAAAGATATTCCTGCCCATAAACAGAAGAAAGAAACCCCAACTGCTAATATTTCCAAGCAAGAGATTTCTGAGCCAGTCACAGACACTGCTAACATTATTAAGGCCAGAGAAACAGAACTCCTTCCTGTTAGTGAACCAACAAAGGAGGTCTCTTGTGCATCTGCTTCAGTCCCTGATGAAAGTGGTCCACCAGCTGCCACAAATGTAGATGTTTTACCACCCTCACAAAAGCCATGTTCAGATGTGCCGAAAGTACAAGCGGACACACCACAGCAACAAACTCAGAAAGTTCCTTCTTCTACTAAGCCTGCTATTCCAACAGATCAAGCAAAAGGAGGTCCACCTACAGACAAGCCTACTTCTACACCACAGCAGAAGGGAGCAAAACAACCCACAACACATCCTAAGAAACCTGAGAGCTCTCCTCCTAAGACTGCATCGCCATCAGTTCAGGCTGTAAAACCAGAGTCAGGTAGCTTCTTTGGCTTTGGAGGCCCTAAAACACAGCCTTCAACAGAAAAACCTGCAGACTCAGTTACTGGAAAGATGTTTGGCTTTGGCTCGTCTTTCATAAGTTCTGCATCCAATCTGATTACTTCAGCTGTTCAAGATGAACCTAAAACTACGCCGCCTTCTCCTCGTAAGATGTCCGCCACAGATAGAGTCTCTCCAAAGCCTACACCACCCGCTTCTACTAAAACATTACCAGTAAGGGATGCTAAGGTAACTTCTGTGCAGAAGACTGAGGACAAGAATTCTGAGAAACCACAGCAGACTAAAATTATTGCAACAGAACCAGCCAAAGTGACAAAATCACCATCAGATAACTCTAAAGTACCACTAAATGGGCAAGATGCTTCTAAGACTGATCTGTCAGTGTGCCCACTTTGTAAGATCAAGCTAAATTTTGACTCCAAAGATCTTAAAAACTACAACACTTGCACAGAGTGCAAGACTACAGTGTGCAACCAGTGTGGATTTGATGCAGTCTCAAATATATCAGAGGTAAGCATCGTCTTCACAAAAGTCACATTTGCAATTATTTGCTTCAGCATAGAGACATATTACATTTGTATCCCAGCAGTGGAAATGATTAGCTTAATCAAGCATTTGACTGTTATCAGTTCTGTCATAATTTGGATTTGAAAATACTTACGGGTAAAACAAGTCATAAAACAAAAAAGTGATTCTCAATTATGTTGTTTCTATAGGAGATGCTAGGACCTCTTATGAACTGTCTGAGTTAACTATTTTAATAACAAACACATAATACCTATTTTCCATTCTCCAGATTATTGTCTTATAAAGAAATTCTGTTACTAAATGATGGTCACCCTTTGTTGTATGTTGAGTTTACAACATTTCTTTATTTGATTGAATTTGTTTCAGACAAAGGAATGGCTTTGTCTAAATTGCCAGATGCAGAGGGCATTGAAAGCCTCGGAGTCAACTGTAGCTCCCGTGGCAAAACAGACACCAAGCGAAATTCCACGGTCTTCTCCTGTTGTACAGAAGGAAACAGTTACACCAATCAAACATATCCAAAAAGATTCCATGGAAGCTGCAACCCCATTGCCAACTGCTGCTCCACCTCAGCAAGATTCTGTGAAAAAGGTGCCAGTGGTTTCAGGTTCTGACCAGCAAAAACCAAATGAAAAGCTACAACAAATGAAGATTACTCAAAGTACCAAACCAGAAGTAAAGAAAGATGTTGGAAAACAAGACATTGGAAAAGTACAGGAACAGCCTGCAAAGCTACCCACACAGCCAACCAAAATGGCTCCACCAGTTCAGCCTACTAAACAAGAATCTGGGGGGTTCTTTGGATTTGGTGCACCTAAAGCACCTAAGGCACCAGTGGCAGCAGCGAAATCTGCTGAATCAGTGACTGGGAAGATGTTTGGCTTTGGCTCATCTTTTCTTAGTTCTGCATCTACACTAATACAATCAGCTGTTCAGGATGAACCTAAAACCACACCACCTCCTCCAAGGAAGATGTCCACTACTGCTCCTACCTCACCTAAAGTCACACCACCAGTTTCTCCAAAGATGCCCCCTGCCAAAGATACAAAAATGCCTGCTATACAGAAATCAGAGCCACTTCAGCAAGACAAGCCTACTCCTCCACCACACCTGGACAAGACTACTCCACCACCACACCTGGACAAGACTACTCCACCACCTCAGCAAGACAAGCCTGCTCCACCACCTTTGCAAGACAAGCCTGCTCCACCACCTTTGCAAGACAAGCCTGCTCCACCCCCTCAAAAAGACAAGCCTGCTCCACCCCCTCAACAGGACAAGCCTGTTCCACCCCCTCAAAAAGACAAGGCTGCTCCACTCCCTCAAAAAGACAAGCCTGCTCCACCCCCTCAAACACCTGGACAAGACTACTCCTCCACCACACCTGGACAAGACTACTCCACCACCTCAGCAAGACAAGCCTGCTCCCCCCCCTCAAAAAGACAAGCCTGCTCCACCACCTTTGCAAGACAAGCCTGCTCCACCCCCTCAAAAAGACAAGCCTGCTCCACCCCCTCAACAGGACAAGCCTGTTCCACCCCCTCAAAAAGACAAGGCTGCTCCACTCCCTCAAAAAGACAAGGCTGCTCCACCCCCTCAACAAGACAAGCCTGCTCCACCACCTTTGCAAGACAAGCCTGCTCCACCCCCTCAACAGGACAAGCCTGCTCCACTCCCTCAAAAAGACAAGGCTGCTCCACCACCTTTGCAAGAGAAGCCTGCTCCACCACCTTTGCAAGACAAGCCTGTTCCACCCCTTCAAAAAGACAAGCCTACGCCACCATCTTTGCAAGACCAGCCTGCTCCATCTCCTCCACAGACCAGACATACTCCATCACTTCAAGAAAAAATAGAAGATTCACCACTGTCCACAGAGGTGAACAAGGTTCTTCCTACACCAACTGTGTCCACCTGTCCTCTTTGTAAGGCTGAACTGAATGTGGGATCAACAGATAGTCCAAATTACAACACCTGCACTGAATGCAAAAACACTGTCTGCAATTTCTGTGGATTTAATCCTATGCCCCATACTGCAAATGTAAGTCAAAATAATGTCATTTTTGCATGCCAATTTTTTCTCTTGATGATGCAAAGGTTTTCATTTTCACTTTCTTTCATTCAAATAACCTTAAATCATTTTTTGTATGACCAGAGTTCCAGGTTATTTACATCTTGATCAAATCATTATTAAATTAATTTAAGCAATGGCAAACAATGCCATCAGAATTAAATTCAGCATCCAGTATACTGAGCAGTGACAATCTTGCAGTATAAAATATACATTTTATACTGCAAGATTCAGTAATTTTGTTATATGGTCAGTGCTGCCATATGTGTTGTAGATACATAAGTTATGTAGCAGTATTGATAAATGTGACATATGCAATCTGCTGCACTTACGATTTTCATAAGGCTTTGACTTTAATCGGGATCCTAGTTGGATATATGATATTCTCTCCTCGACTTTGAATTAAGGATCTCATTTAACAAAATAAACACATGCAAGACAACATGCTGCATGTAGGCTGTTTTGGGGCTTTCTCTCTTGACTGGACAGGTCAGATTTGTTGCATAACTGGCTTGTCAACAGACTGGCATTACTGAAAAGTATTAAAGTGATGATTGATGGTTGCGCAACAGCATTAGTGAGATGGGATCTGCTGTAATAGGAAACCAGGGACGAGGGAAACTCCAAACTCTGTCAGAGATTTGAAATAGCAAATCCCTGTGATATGCAAATAAGTGGGTATAAAATGGATTAAGCTCATCACAACATAATACGTCATAGAATCTGATGTTTCTTGTCAGTCAGCCTGCCCCCTCTGATGTCAATGGCTTCTGGTAATTCAGCTGTTTCTTCTTCATTGTTTGTGGGTGGCAATGGCACAAGTGTGCTGGCTTTTACACCTTAATCACAGGCGGGTTAAGGTTGATGGATTCATGAGTGTCAATGCCTTCTACTTATTCTTATGGAATATTTTTTTGAATGCCATCTTGAATAGTTAATCCCTTAAGATGTCACTAAGTCATCTCCCACACCCTAAGAGACAGAATTCAAGAAACTAGGTAATACAAGGTTTGTATGCTGCTCTCTATTTTTTTCTGTATGGAGCTTGCCTGTTCTCCCTGTATAGTTGTGGAATCTCTCTGGGTACTAAGGCTTCCGCCCTCAGTCCAGTGTTAGGTTATTCATTTCCTCTAAATTGTCCTTGGATAAGCATGCATGTATGCAGTCATGGTTGTTTGTTCAGGGTGTAACCTGCCTCTCACCCAATCACTGCTGGAGATAAGAATCAGCCCCTTTGAAAAAGAAATGGGAGGATGTTGTCTTTTTTTTATGGAGTTAGATAACATATGCAAGCAGATGTTTACCTTCATCACAGGTTGTTGTAAAGAAAACATATAGAACTTGCAGATGTGTATCTCAACAGAGGAGGCACTAAAAATAGAAACTGGTCTTCTAAGAGCAGGAGAGAATTTCCTGTTTCTTGCATTTGTACAGTGCAGATGCATCCCTTTTAGCGAAGCAGAATTAGCCTAACCCCATGACAGCTGGACAGAAAGAATAAGCATACTCTCTTCTACTGGCCTTTTTTATTCTTGTCAGTTTTCTGTCATAACATTTTTTTTGTGGGCTACTTCAATTTGAAAAGGACTTATAACATTTGAAAGAGGAGGAGTCTGCTTCTGGCATCTTGAGTGCAAAGAGAAAGTCTGTCCATTTCTCCATGTTGCCTGTGTTGCTTCAGCTGATGTCATTAAAAGCCTTAGAGTGACTGTTGTCTGATAAGTAGGACACACGTGTATCATGGCTTGTCAACTAAAGCTTTTTACATGACAGATGAGACAGTTTGAATGGCAGTTTGCTTGTCTATGCATGCTGAGTTTAGATGGATTTTTTTGGTTGATATATATTTTTTTTTCTGCAACACTACTGGGCTGGAAAAAAAGGCAGAAAATATTATTGCATGGTGGTTTGATGGTTTATCTTTGTAAAAAGATAAGAAATAAAAATGCTGAAGTATCTTTGTATATCATATTTACTTAGATTCTCAAAGTTACAGAAAGAAGATTATCAGGGTTATAAGTTGAGAGGACTGATATACCAACATTTATATAAATGTGTAACAAGTAAGAAGTGGCATTGCTGTCTACAGCTAAGGATTTGGCCTGGCATATTTTAATTATAGAATGGCTTGAAATGAAATGTCATTTTAGCTGCCAGTTTTACTTGTGCAAAGATCATGTGGGAAAAGCTTTGGGTTTATCTCAAGCTACTGTGTTCAAACATAACAGCAGTTGCAAAGGATCTCTAAGGACATTTTTAATCTCTTCAGTAACTGGAAAAAGCATGGCATAACCTGTACATGTAGTCCACCAATGAAAAAAAAACATAACAAAGGTACAAGTAAAAACAAGAGCATGTCTTCCATTATATATAGCAGATCAGCATTAAGAAGAGAGATAGGAAAGAAAACAAAGTCTTAAAACGGACTTTGAAATGTAATGATTCATGTGATGATTGTAAATTACCAACAAATTACCATTCACCATGCCAAATTACTATGCATGTTGGTAATTTGTAGTTATTATTAACGACAAACTATGAAAAAAAAAACACATGGAACAAAAAGTTATTTGGTTTTAACCTTAAAGTGGAAAATATTACATATAAATATTTTTTTATGGTTAAGAACCAACATGAAAATATAAATGTGTTAAAATAACAGTAAAATACTTTTGAAAGATACTTCTGTACTTCTTGAAGGTCTATATATTTTATCACCAGAACATATAAACATTAACTATAAATGAAAATGAAACAAAAAAAAATTAACTAATTTTGGAAAAATTAGGGAAAAAGGCCAATTTTTTATTGCATTTAAGCTCAATGTCAAATACATTAATTCAAATTGTTTGAATGGATATGCTTAGATACTGAACCCTGTGAACACCCTGCTTCTTTATCATGATCATTTGTGGCTTTCCCTCCTTGTTGACGGTGTCTATGACATTTGTCAGGTCAGCGGTCTTTCCCATGATAGTGCAACTTATAGCGACAATTCAGAAATAGTTTAGAGGAGCAGGAAAACTTTGCAGGTGTTTTGAGTAAATTAGCTGATTAGGGTATGACACAGATTTTGTTATATATATATATATATATATATATATATATATATATATATATATATATATATATATATATATATATATATATATATATACTTAACTTTCCCCAATATTCTAATTTTAATCAAAACTTTTGTTTTTATATTGGTTTATGGTTAAACTAACCCCACTAAAAAGTTTTCCTAGCACTAAGTTTTGTTTTTTAGTAACAGAGTTGATGCAGTACACGTGCATGTTGTGTAATGTGTGAAAAATTATCAAGCATAATTTACTTGCAATGCCGTTACAGTTTTAGCATAGTCTCCATAAACAGTACACCAATGCTATTCTAAAGTTGTAATTTCTTTGTGTTGCAAAAATATATAAACATTTAAATTTTAACACATTCAATATTCTCACTTTCTTTAGAGTGTTTTTATTTCAAAGGTAGTTTTTGTTATTATATTGTTCATCCCTCAAGCTGCAGTCACTCACCTGAGCAAAATCAGTGTTGCTATTTTGAAAGATGTTGTGGCTTTAAGCTAAGTTTGCTGATGCACCAGTTGTCAGAGTGGGAAAATGCAGTGGATGCATTTCCTTGTTTGCAAAATGAAGCACTCTGCTTATTACAGATTAGTAGGTCAACATTCTTTGTTATCCCAGGGCTTAATATATAAAGAGTGAAGCCCTGTGGGGCTGCTGAAAGCCCAGCATATTTGCAGCCTTTCCTCTACCCAAAGGTATGTGCCAGAAAATCAATAGGAACCTCTCTGGCTCAATTAAAAACAACATGACAACAATGGAGACTAAGAAATTATGCCATTAGATGAAAATTACAAAAAACACTTTTTTGTGTGATTCTAGTTAAATCTTGTTTTGCTTTGAAAAATACAAAGTTTAAAGCTAGCTTAGACCAATATGTCATTGTTTTACTTAACATTCTGATTAACTATTTATTAGACTTGATCCAAATAATATGATAATATAATGATATTGGTAACATTTTTTTTTTATACAAACAGAAGCTGATGCCTAAAAATTGTGTTTCAGAAGATTTCCTTACCTCGATCTTTGTGATGGTCACACAATTCACCTAAAAGGCATATCACACTGCAGCTTGTGAGAGCAGCGGTTCCCATGGCTCTCTGCAAGGAGCTCCTGCTCTCTCCCTCCTCATAAAACAGATTTAATCAGACAAAAGGGCAATGGTAAGTTTCCAATAACCATATTTGTGATTCATGTCTCTTAAAACAAGTGGCTAATTGGCAGGTAATGTGGCAGGAAAGATTAAGTTAACAACAACAACAATAATAATAATAATAATGATGAAAGGAGTATATTTTGCAATTGGCCAAAAAACATAGTTTTCAGTATTGGTATTTTCTATAAAATGAAGTTAAAAAAAAACAAAAAACAGAATGCAATTTTACTTCCTAGGACATGGTAATGGAAGAAAGAAGTCAGAGTGGAGTGCAGCAATGTTGACCTGTTTTAGCTTGTTGAGCTTTTACCCAATTCAAGGTTTGATTCCTGACCTTAGAATGTTTGCAGCATATCTCCAACCTCCCTTTCTGTCGGGTTAGTCTAAATAAAGGCACCCAGTGCAAAAGGATCTTTAAGTTAGGCTTTAGTTTACTTAAGTTTACTTTAGTTTTCATGCCATAAAACTAATATTTTTCGAAGCACATATGGTTTAGTTTCAGCAGTATTCTCAAGATTATACCTGCCATCAGTATATTTATATGTAAGCACAAGTTGCCACTACTGATTTGACACAGTAGTTCTTGTTTTCAGAAGTAAAATTAATCTCAATTTGC